AACAATGTCTTTATGGCCTTAACTGCTGAAAAAACAACTGAATCATTCACCAAAATTCATCTGAACTGTGTCTGTGAAATAGTCAATCATTATATCTCTGAAACATTTTCCCCGGTAGAATTTTCTCCACCAAATTTTCGAAAACCAACCATTGCATACACAGGACCAGGATGGAAACGATTTCCATGGGCAACTCCAGTCATCGATGATTCATCAAGTAAACGTAACGTACTTAGCGGAATGTCTGGGAATGTATTACTGCAAACAAATATTCACAGTCTTATTAGATCAGAGAAAAAGCAAAGCCAACAGAACCCTGTTTACTTTTGCTGTGACATTTCCGTAATACAACAATATGTGATTCGGGAAACTGATCATGAATGTCTTGCTGAATATTCTTAATATCTTACCTGAATATCTCTTCGCTATCCTCCGGTTCAGTGCCATTGACCACAGTAAAATGGAAGGCTATTAGTTGATGACTGCTAAGATAGCGCAATTCCTTCCGCTGAAAAAGGACACAATTAGAAAAGTTATAACGGGCATGTTTTTGATAAATTTTGACAACACGTGAAGTCATGTAAGGAATGCAGTCAAACCCCAAAATTTTGAAGAATTAACATGCTTTTAATGAGAAAATGACTTCAAAATATCAACGATTACGAATAAACTGAAGTAAATTAAAAAACAATTAGAGCGAATAAACAAGTCAAACCTTCCAGTTCTCAAACTTTGTTCTCAACTCTTCGCTGCTATTTGTAACTGCGAGAATAGTCCATGCTTTTACGTCAGATCCGTAGAATACCAACACTTTGCCAACCGTTGTCAAGTGTTTGTTGCGTTTGCTAAAATTGATATATTTGTTTCGGTAAAATTGAAATATTCATTATCTGTCTATAATTATGATAGCATTCGTTCTATTTCAGAAACCGTTTGGATATTCTTATTCGGCATCGGAATTGATGTTATCCATATCACACAAATTTTGTGGACGAATATTATCGTAACCAATTCCTTTCGATGTTACTCCATTCTAGATTGATCTGTTAGCCAAGAAACAATCAAGTCTAACTTACATCTTCTTTCGATTATCCGATTGAGCAACAACACAAATTGGCGCACTCCCCACTTTCCCTCGAAATGTATTGACTACCTCCTGTTCTAAACTTACAGCGCATCCACGAGTAGATTCAACATCGTCGACAATTGCAATGAACAATTTCACTTCATCCTGGGAACCATGATTATCTCATTAGGTTCAGAAGATCGTACTTTTAATAAGCTCTAGAAATTAAATCCTATGGAGAATTCAATTCACTATAAACATAATACTTTGGGGTGTTGCATACTGATGTATGCATTAAGCTTTAATTAACTCACTTTATGGATATGCAATGTGGAGAGAAATGTCCAGTATCCACTGAAAAAAATTGTTAGAGTTAAGGACAAACATGACAGTGATTTAATATACCCATTGAATATTAAATATTTAGTAGAGTTTTGTATTGATCTTTCGGGGCGGAATGAATTACACTCTTGGTATATTGGCTCAATTCTAATTCTAATTGCATTCCTTAATTAAATTGTTTCCGCTATTATGCCTTCTGCTTACAAATCTTAGTACATTTAGAAACAGAGAGATTTCATTATCACCCAAGTATCACTTCATTATCATTACCATTCAAGTATTATGACCATTCGACTGTCACTTTTAATTGATGCAAAGTTTTTAATGGAAATCACTGCAGTATTTGTACCAAAAACGATTAAATCTCAGTATT